AAGAAGAAGAAGAAGAAGAAGAAGAAGAAGAAGAAGAAGAAGAAGAAGAAGAAGAAGAAGAAGAAGAAGAAGAAGAAGAAGAAGGTTTTAGTTGCAGTGATCTTTTGCAAGCAAATAACCCAGCCTTTGGTATCCTGCAAAAACTGCATGCAAATAAGGAATGCGCTTTTAACAAAAACAAAGCGTAACCGTGTCACCGCTAACTAAAATAAGTGTATAAAGCAAACTTGTGACCAAACCGTATCATTTACGGCTTGAGTAACCATCTTTGCATTTAATTGTCAGGATTTTTAATGACGTTTCTGGCCATTTCCATGCACTTCGGTAAAAGAACACGTGAACCCTCAATTCGGAATTTACTTGATATTATATATTTTTAAAAAATAGTCATACATACATCTGGGATTTCCCCTCCCTGTTCTGTAAAAGAACAATTGAGCCCCCTGTTCTGAACTTACAAGACCTCATACAAACATCTGGGATTTCAACACCCTGTGGGGTCACAGTGACGTAGAACGCGAGAGACACTATGAACTTATTTTTAGGAAAAATGGGGGGAGGGGACAAGGTGTGACATTTACTTTCAGCAGTCATTCTTTTCACTCGTATAACCATTGGTGATTATAGTTCTACATTAAATAGGGCTATCGGGTCAACCGGTAATTTGTTCGCCCCCGCATGAATTATTGTACTCAGTCAACGTTAGGCAAACTACTGAAAGTAAAACTACACAAACGTATAATTACTACAAGTATTCTATATGAAGTATGAGTAAAAGACTCATAATTGCTTGTTTTCGCCGGCTCATTCAATAGGTCCAGGGTTCAAAACTTGACAGCGACGGAATATTTTCTTCTCTATAAATATTTCTCCTTTCAACTCCTTTCCTGCCCTTTATAATGCTCTGTCGTCTACTTTCATCTCTCCCCCTCCCCCCTTCCTCTGGGCTCCTGACTCGTTCTACAGCTACTCCTAGATCCTTCTTATTGCTATCTTTCAGCCACATCATCGATCTTCGGATGAGGGTGAAACAATTCTCAAAGGTCTCATTTGCACGTTGAGCACGTTTTAGATTCCTTGGTGGTATTAGAATTGATAAGAGTAGGCTTCGGACGCCACCCAGGCATAATCCAAAATTAATCCCTACCAAATGGAAAATGTTTAATGTGTTCCCCGCGCTCGTATGACCACATGAAGTTGCGAACGCCGTAAAACACTTACAAAACAACAACAACAACAACAACAACAACAAACAAAAACAAAGACAAAACAGAACAAAGCAAAACAAACAAATCAGACTTAAATTTTCGGAACTCGGATGATAATCTCAAGTCTTAGAGATAACAAACTTGAAAGAGTAATAGAGTCAGACAAATGGCAAAGAATTAGTGAAGAAGGAGAAATTACCAAAGACGCTCCACAAACACCTGCAGGTGTCTAATGTTCAATTTCAATAAAAAGGTGCCAGACAAAGCTGTGTTTCACAATCGTTGGAAAAGTCCATGTATCTGTAAATCAGCACAGTCAGACAGACTAACCATCAAATCAAACTGGGGGCTCTGCACAATCATGATCAGTGAAAGGAATATCAGTCGTTCTTACTGTGTTATTTTAATACTTTTCACCCCCCACCCCCCCCCCCCCCACCCCAAAAAACAACAACAACAAATACATAGCTGCCTCGAAGAAGGGGCATAATTTAATACTGTGCCAGTTCCCGTTATCTTCATGCTCAAATCACTATTAAAACACTTTTAAAAGGTCAAACGAAACTTTGCAAACCTTTTCCATCCCTCATAAGGCCAAATACTGATTTATCTCAGATTTTATTCTTTAATTAGAAACAAACAAGTCACTGGTTTCTTCTCGCCAATATCAAATAATCTACACCGGTTGCCGACATAATACTATTTTAACAAATGACCACAATTACAAAGTTTTATCTGACATTTTTTTTACCGTTCTTAGTTACTATAAAACCATGAGGTCAGAACCCAAATGTTCTATCTGCTCTATCAAAATTGTAAGATGATTCGGAGTCCTTATCAAGACATTCATAGAATCGCTTTCGAAAAAGCTTGACATGTTGTGAAACTCAAAATGTTGTACGCCAAAAGTCTCAAACCGAAGTACTGAGTAGATAAAATTTTGTAATTCTATGGTAGCAAAATGTGTGTCGCCCTTTTCAAGTCAGTCCCACAAAGTCATATATATATCTCGGCCATAAGCTTTTCCCGCTTGTTTACATCCGATCGTCTAAAAGGGAACTAACAATTACTTCTGTACTTCCTCCATCACAAAAAGGGACAAAAGAAAATTCTGTTTCTCAGGTCGTCCTGGAATAATTACTTCATGACGCACGGGGCTTCTTGAACAGAGCGGGTATGACGTGACCTCTGTCCATCCCCCACAATGATCACACCACGAAGACATCCAGTGGCAGGAACAACAATGAATACCATAGTCAAATTCGGGATCTACAAAAAAACCTTTGCTGAACCTCCTTGTTTCTGAAAATAACCACACCCCCAGAGTCCACGTTTACTGATGTGACAGAGATAACCAACGAAAGGTCACTGCAGGTCTGAGCGGATGAGATATCGCCTGAAGTGAAATGGGTTTGGAATTCTGGTCTGAATAAATATAAACTACCATGAAATGTAAATAATCCAGCAACAAAACTATTGAACAGTGTCTACTTCTGCGATCTGCAGAAGCCGGCACATTACAAATTACGAAGAAACACATAACTTTCATACCATTGCTTGCAAAAATACAGTAAGTCACAGTAAAAGTAAAAGATGAAAAACATAGCTTCAAAAGGCCATGAAATGTAAATGTCTGGAAACGAAAAAGGAGAATCTCTGTTATGTTTATTTTCCATGTTTCTTTCACGATGGTGTTTTTTCTGTGTTTGTTTTGATTTATTTGTTTTGTATCAAGGGGGAGGGGGTAAAGTATAGAAGTGGAAGAGCAGTGGTGGTGAGGAAAATTAGTTGGGATTCTAAAAACCTGCGAGATAGAGTCATGGCGACACGGTGGACGTTAGAACTTACATGTACCAAGCTGAGCTCAATTTAGCGTCCAAAGAGTCATGATCAGATAGCAGGTGCAGGTATAGAATATATAATCAGTAACCTAAAATAACATCAGGCTTCTCGCAGATTCCCACCAAGTCAAAACATACTGCTCTGGAAAAAAAACAAAAAAACGAATACTTATTTGTGAAAACAAATGGCTCCTATAAACATTGGGAAAGTGGGGGCCACCTCGGAAATTTCTCTGAGCATGGAAGACTTTGAAAAACACCAAACACAGTGAAATTATTTCCCGCTAAAATAAATATCAAACTAAAACATATGTTAAGGAATTACCCGACACATAAAGGTGAGGGATTATTAACCTCATTGCCAGTTCAGTCATTCCAACAAAAAACACGTGGAACTTTTCCCAAGCACATTTTTTTACAAGAACATGGAACAAAGCAAACTAAACAGTTTTTGTTTTAGAAAAAGGTTTACGGCACTTAGAACACAATCAAATCATACACGTTCCCAAGAAGAGAGGTATTATTAGACTGTCACATACAGAGAAAAGAAAGAGGAGGGGTAATGCCGAAAGATGGTAGGAAAGAAGGAGCAAGCCAAACTAACACAAGAAACATACAAACACCAACACAAACACCCACACAGATACACACACACACACACACACACACACACACACACACACACACACACACACAGCGCGCGCGCCAAACTCGGAGAATCCACTACAATTGCGCCACATCGAAGAACAAATCAAACCCGACAGATACCTATACAAGAGAAAATAAAATCACGAATCCTACTCACCCCAAACGCTAGAATATCGCCGGAAAAGATGCAAGCTGCACCAGTGTATTCCGAGGCAAACAGCTGCAGATGAACATGGCCTGGAAGTCGACCAACACAACAGTCAATTACCTATCCAACGACTCCACTTAAATATAATTGTCTTCAACAGAACTCAAGTCCTTTCAAGTTAATCTGAGATCTACTTTTCCTAACAACGATGCACGTCGCCAGCTGAGTACCGCTTCCAGAATCAGGAATTAAAAAATAAGCACTGGCTGTGTGTAAAGTTCTGGAGAGAGCTTACAATCTGCACGGACTCACCGATTTTCACACCGACCAATATTCACCACCAGTCAGACTCAATTTACTCACTACGACAGAGTACTAAATCGGAATACCCTCCACGTAAATAACTATAGTAGTCTGTGCTGTAAATTAGTGTCACACCTGGAAAAATGTAATTAGAAATTATTTATACGAAATTAGCAGCTGCTCACTTCCCCCGGGCACACGGTTTGGGATGTGATACTGATATGAATGAACAGTGTATTTCAATTATTATGTGAACTACGTTCCTTACATTATGTTCCCTAAAAACATTAAGAGAAATCTAAAAAATAAATACATATGCAGCTTCTCCAGCAACGTCTTCTCAACTGTTGCTGATTCAAGATCTACATGCACAAAAACATTAAAAGTATTCAATGCACGTTGTTTTAAAGTTTTCCGCATATGAAAGCCCCGCCCCCCCCCCCCCCCCCCCCCCCCCATCCTCCCTGTCCAAGTCATTTAAGGTTCTTCGAGTGGAGTTAGATATTAATCCTAACTCACCCCCGAAAAATAAATAAATTAATACAAAAAATGAAATAAAATAATACTTCAGAAAACAGTGAAAACAAAAGAAATTATTACAAAAAAATAAAAATAGAAATAAAAAACTAAATTCAAATAAAAACAAGGAAATCTTGACAAACGTATGTTAGAATGCGCACAATAATCACCAACAGTCAGTGCTCGGGAAAAATATATTGTCTTAAAGATTTCACACAAAAACGGAATATCTGCCCACCTCACCTTACAAATGCACGATATTACGTTCACAGCAGCACATCACGAACCGCAGGCTAAGTCCGGCTGATACAACTTAAGAGATGAACTTACAAAACAGAAGAAATAACTCCGTCACCAATGTCGCTTGAGGTAAAACAAGAAAGTTTTCAGTTAGGTGATAGCGGCAGTCCGTGCAAACACTTGCGGTTTTCCAAATACGTGTCCGTCGTCTGTGTGTATGCGTGTGTGTGTATGTCCCGAAAACTCTCCACCCTTCCTGTGTCCTCTGTCTCGACTTGTGTCACACGAGAGGCGGCTGTGACGGAAGCAACACAAGGCTTTTGGTCACACACTCAGAAAGAACGGACGACGGACGTAGAGAGAGAGAGAGAGAGCGCGAGCGATAGATAGATAGATAGAGTGAGGATAGGGAAAAAAACGTTTCTGGTAGGGATAAGTGCTGCTGAGAGTCAAATACAGGCGTCAGTCATCATCACAGGCCTGCGTGTCCGCTCGCTGACGTGCAGTATCTGAAGGGTTCGGGCAGCCTCGAGTGAACCAGCGCTCTCGTCAGTGCAAGGCCTATAGGCCTACAACTATAACAGTACTGCTGCCCACGCAAGGAACACACGACGGAACACTCACCACACGCGACTGTTACATAGGCCTATGCACTATGCACGTATCTATCTGTTCGGGTTGTAACACGGGCGCGCGCACACGCACTCACACTCACACACGCACACACACACACACACACACACATACGCACACACATACACACACACACACACACACACACACACACATACGCACGCAGGCACACACAAACGCGCACAAACACAAATGCACATACAGACGCACATTCACACACTAAAGCAAACAAACTGGTAGAAATGCACACGCACACATACACACACACCCAAGCACACATACACATTGACATGCATGCACAC